GCTAGTGGTGGATTTTGAAGAACGCACTTCATTCTACAAAACAAGACGCTTTCCAGGATTCTACAATATTCTTTCCGAATATTATAGGATAGACGAAAAGAGAAAAAACGGTAACGCACAGAGATTCTGGTAGCAGAGTTACGCGTTTTGCATGTATAGGATATAATACAATTTTATCACATTTTACAGTAATCAATACTCTATATTCTACTTTCTTACTATAATCTATTGTCTCATACGTGAATAAAATAATTTCCTTCCTATTTTGTGTTTCTAGAATAAGAAACATAGTCTCAAGTGGGTGGTCTAAAAAGATGCGTCCACATAATCTACTGCAGACAGGATTTACTTCTCCAAATCTGTCATGACTATAAGAGAAAAATGAAGTTCGAAAATAAATTTATGTGAGAGGAGAGTACGGGATATAAACAACTCGCTTGTTTGCATAAACTCCGCTTTTTCAAACGGATCTCTAAAAAAATACCCCATTTGCGTGCGATCCTTTTTTCTCTAGAAAAATGGCATTCATATCGGACTTTCTTAAACACAAAATAACTTTCTGTACAATTACTTACATAACTAATCATCCAATAGTCAGTAGTCAAAGAAACAAATTTCTTGATTGATTACAACAGAGAATGTGTCGTTGAAAAACATTTTAATGAGTTGTTAACAGTAAAATACAAATCTCTCTCAATATAATTCTGACAAAATTCTAGGAAATAATTTACAACATTTGATAGATTTCCTAGTGTAAGCTAATATAAGATTCAGATGATAGAATCCTATAAGAAGTATCACACTATCCTACAATAGAAATTACATGAGGTTATGTAGGATTTCAGAATTCTAAAACAATTTCCGGTGTTTCATAGGATCCCATACTATGTAGGATTATTCATTCAGTTTGCATACAGTCAGAGGCTTTAATTAATGTAAATAAAAGTTCGTATATTAACTTATCAAAATCTTCTAAACTAATTATATAATCTGTCTTGTCGAAATTTTTATCGAAATCTTATTAATATTCAACGCATTTTCATCGACTGTCTTATATAAGATTCTTGTAAAAATTTCTATAAGGTCTCTATAGAATTACCGTAAGTTCGATCGCCTAGGGTGTTGATGTGCATTATGATAGACAAGGTTAAAGATGATTAATGACAAAGTTTTGTTATTCGGATGTATGGAGAAGAAAAAACAAATAAAGTACTTACAAACACTTGACCCGTAAAAAAAAAAAGAGAAAGAAAATTTATGGTTAGAAAAAGAAACACATACATCGTTTTTTAAGTGAAAAAAAAAAACCTTTAGAAAATATAATGAATTATTGTCAAAAGTTATTTAGCCTCCACTGTATACAAAAAATGTTTTGTAATGCTGATTTTGTAAAATTTTCTAGAGAAACGATTTATTGGACATTATCATCTACATAAAACAGAGTACTACCCCCTCTTTAGAGAATTTGAAACAAATTCATATTCAATCTATAACTCTAGAAAACAATTTTAAATAATAAACGTGTATAACAAATTTATCTATTAGACAACATGTAGAATGTTTAGAAGTGAAGATAATTCGTGTATTGAGTATGAAATAAACGTTGAAAACAAAAATTTTTAAATAATTATTAATTTGTATGTATATATGTGTATTATTGATTAATGGTTCTTGAATGATCACATGCTAACAATTATTTTAATAATAAACAAATAGAAGAATAAATAATTACGCAGAATTAGAAATAAACATTTTAAGATATACATACTGTATAAAATTTATTAGAGAATTTAAATAAGATACTACTATTTTCATATCACTTTCACAGACAAAAATTTTATATTAATCCAATGTTCTTCGACATGTTTTTAGATTGCATTTTGTTCATGGGGAAAAAAGATTTAGATTGTAAACAAAAAAAGAAAAGAAGTTATCGTAAATATCAAACTAAAATCAATATGAAAAAAACATGATAAATTTTCGTCAATGTTCAGTACTCTCTATCATTAAAGCATAAAAGTGAATTAGTCATGCCAAGAATTAGTCGTACTTTCAATAAAAATCTTTTCTTCTTTTCAATACAAGGTTATTTTGCTCAACATTGTCAACAACTTATATCTTCAGATAATTGGCTATCTGTCCATACTTGATTACCGAAGTTTTCGTCACTAGATTGATAAATATATTAACAAGTTTTGACATTTATAACGTTAAACATAAACTTTAGTCAAAACATGTTTATTAGTTATTAAATCTTATTAGATTACACATATGAAAATGGTAGTAGATCATTCATATTAGATAGTAATAGAATCTATTCAAGATTTAACTTTTATTCACGATAACCATTGACAAGTTTATAAATGGGTGATTTATAAATCATTAAAACTCTAAAATTTTCTCACCTATTTTTCCAGCGGAAAAACGTTTATAAACACGTTTATAAATCAAGATATTTATAAATAACGATTTATAAATCGTAAGTTTTTGAAAAAGTCATTTTAAACTTATCAATGACGGTAGCAAAAACATACAGCAGATGTCGCACCCTTACTAAACTTACTCTAATAAAACATCACATTTACTAAAAAAAGTAATAATATGAACTGATAAAAGACCTTTGGATCTAATCAAAAATTGCTGTTTTCTAATAACGTTTTATTCAAGTTTATGTAATCTCTTACATTCACAATTTGTTGTTATTATTTGTTTAGAAAATTCTTACGCAAATCAGTTCGACTACGAGATTGTGATACCGAAACCCTTAATACATCCTCGCTCAACATATACACCTTTATCAACATCTTTCTCCCAATTACCTGATTGGAAATCACATCCATCTAAACGATTGACGTCGATATCGGTTGAAAACGGTTTTATATCGTCTAACGATAAACATTATCGACGTAAACGTTCTTTCGATAATACTACTTTTGTTACTTCCTCGTCGTCATCATCATTCTCATTTTTAAATAAAACATCCCGTTATCGTATACATAAACGTAAACTAATGCCACCGTTTTCATCATCCTTACAAAGAAAGTCTAATACAAAAGTCCCAACGACAACAATAACGAGTAATTATCGTATTCACGGTTTTAATCAAACATTCGATTTATTATTGATTAACGATGATTCATTTATTTCACCCAATTTTGTCATACAATATTTTGATACCAATCGTACATGGATAACACGTGATATTGCTCGCTGTTATTATAGTGGATTGGTTAATCATGATCCAGATTCAAAAGTGACATTAAGTCTTTGTAAAGGAATGGTTAGTATGTTTGTAAACTAAAATAGCAAAAATAATAAATGAAACACTGTTATGAATATCCACATAAGCAATATTGCTTTCTTGAAAAAAATAGGTACAGGTTTACCTGGAGTCGACACAAATATTTTAACTTCTCTCAATAGATCTATCTCAAATTAGTCGCAATGGCGTTTTTTTCTAGCGTGGCAGTTTTCTCTATCATGATACTGAATATTACATTGAACCAAAACGAAATAAAAATGAAACAAGATGGAATTTCGAACATTTATTGTACACCCATAATGACCATCAACAATCAGATGTTGTTCGTTGCCCGGTGCATGGTAAAATATACATATTTAAATATCTTATGTTAAAGAATATATAATATTCACTTTCTCTTTGTAGGAAAACCCTATTTTGAGCGATCAGATCGACGAAAACGACGACGAAAAAAAGTGTTTTATTCAACAAATAATAAATCACTTCCTTACTCCAATACATCGATTAATTTAACTGTAAATGACACATTATCGAATGATATTGAGGACGATTTTTCACAAAGATCGATTTTAAAATCTCGGACAAACTCTATTGCAATCTCATCGACATTCAATGAATCTCCCCTTTATGACTATCGTAGTCATAGAAAAAAACGAAATGATCCTGATCCATTGGCCAAACATGTCGAAGTTTTTGTTGCTTATGATGATAATTTTGAAAAATTTCATAGTGATACTGATATTACATCTTACATTTTAACATTATTTAGCTATGTAAGTATGTTTAAAAAAAGTATACTGTCCTATTCAAGGCGGTAACCAGTGAGAATGTCGACAAAGTAATAGTAATAGTTATCTATTTCGATATCGACGAGATACTGCTCGACACGATTTAGTCCTGCAGAGCGCTTACGGTTTAATAGAGACAAGGACTAAATCCATTTATTTTATTTCTCGTCTACAATTGAAATCTACTATCATTATTACCAAAGTGCTATCGAATTTTGTCATATATTGCACTTGTATTATATTCGTACGTTTAGGTTTCACATTTATATTCTGACGCAAGTATTGGTAATAACATTAAAATTTGGCTAGTCAAGTTAATGAAAGTAAACGATGTATGTAGAAAACTCTAGAACCAAAAAACGTAAATCATCTATTTATCCACCATCTTATTTTAGTTAACTTTTGGCGGAGATGCGGCAGATATTCTCAACAGATTCTGTAAATGGCAAAAAGATCAAAATAGTCCTATTAACTTTGATGTTGCTGTGTTGCTTACAAGGTATAATATCTTTCTTATATGATATGATCTTTCGTCAGACCAACAAGTTTTATTATATTCTAGGGTAACATTGTGTCACAAACGGACAAAAAGCGAAACAGATAACAAATGTGATACTCTAGGTATGTATGTTCAATTGAAAATAATAATTTTCTATTCATTTGGAAAATCTCATCTTTTTAGGCTTAACAGAACTGGGGACAATGTGTAATACATCATCGAGTTGCGCAGTAGTTAGAGATAATGGATTTGCAACAGCGTTCACCATTGCTCATGAACTAGCTCACTTGTAAGCTTTTTCAAAAGGCTTAATAAAATCTCATTTGACATGTCCCTTGATGATATTAAGCGCTCTCTTTTCTGGCTTTTCGGGTCATGATAAGCTAAAATGAAGATAACGATGACATCATCCACGTACGCACGTAGAAAGTGGCGGTATCATTTCCATTTTAAATTATCATGACCTACTTTTCGTACCATAAGCGAAAGTTGCACCGCCACCGTTGTCGCTAGTTGTTTGTACCACTATTGTGTATTTTATCAGCTGCCTTTTAACCTTTTGTCATAGATAATTGCTTTCACAATACAAATCTAAGAAAGTCTCATTGCGAGCATTTCATTACGCTTGTCAACTCTAGATTTTCTGAAAGGGAACGAAAACTTTTTCAAAGGGGACATGAAGGAAAGCAAAAGGCAATTTTTTGCTTAACTAGTTTGATACTTAGCAAATAAAATAAAAAGCGAAAAAAATAAACTGAACGTTCAAATCTACTGTTGTATTTCGTATTTTCTGTCCAAGATAAATCTAAACTGCTTTAAAAAGAAAAATAATTATACATTATCTGATTACATAGGTGTTGATTTCATCCTCTTCTCTCGCACAGATGTCTGTAAGGCAATATAAATTCAAAAACAGAGAAAAGGGAACATTTCTTGTCCCGTCGAGGGACGAAAAAATTGAGAAGGGAATAAATGGTCAAGTGATCTGTCTCTCCAAAGGGGATGATTGTCAACCTTGTATTTCATCTTACACTCTAAAAATGAAGGTTCTTCCTGATATACAATATTTAATTTTTAAACTTATTTCAGATTTGGTGTACGTCATGATAATGATAAAGCATGTCAAGATCATACAAAAGAACAAAACATCATGGCAACTTCTCTCACATTCAATCACAATCATTATAAATGGTCAAACTGTAGTCGGCATTTCTTCTCACAATATTTAGAGTAAACTGTGAACACTTTTTTTCGTGTTGAATAGTATAATTCAGAATATATCAAATTTTATTGCAGATCAGAACGATATCAATGTCTCAACAATATTCCCGATAAAAATTCTCAAACATTCAAAGATCTTAATGGTGAACAGACTGCTCGAGAATTACCGGGTAGTTTCAATGATAAGGATAAACAGTGTAAACGAGCATTTGGTACAAATTATGAGTATTGTAGTAACTTAAATCATGGAGTGAGTTTTAATAACAAATATATAATTGAGTATTTTATAACTCTGTTTTTCATTAGGCACCATGCGCACGTCTATTTTGTAAAGACATGTATGCAAATGGTACATCATGTATGACAAATCATGCGCCATGGTCAGATGGAACAGAATGCCATGAACAATGGACAGAACCAAAGGTAAATACAGATAAAATAGAGAATTTTCTAATGGTGAGATAGATAGTTCTGATCCTCTTTTGGAGAGTTCTGAATAGTGATCAAGTTAAATACATACACCTTCTGATGACGACAAGCGCATTACTATTCGTTTTGAGACGTAAAAAATTTCTATCCATTGCTCTTTTATCTAAATTTTAATGGGATCTTGTAGATAAAACGATTTTACACATTGCCTGGCAATCTCAGTGTATGGAGCTTTACATTTGAAATCAATTTTCCTTAAGTAATGCATAAACATACTAGTGCTTACTAAAACCGATTCTCTTCAAAATCTACAATGGGGTTAGATAAAGCTTCATATATAGTACGATGACACATAAAAATCTGAATAAAGTAGTGTATCAAAGAGAAATACCTCATTTTAAACCACCTTCTATCTCGTGATAATGACTGTGCCCATTTTCTTCCATAAATAAAAGAGAATACAACTTGTCTTTGATGAATGATTGAAGTACATATTATTAATTGAAGTAAAATGTTTCTTTTCTTTTCAAAACATTGTCGAACGAAAGTTTCTCAAAGGCATTTTTTCTTGTTCTTCAATAAACTTTGTTGGTTTTGATGGACTGAAACCTTTCGTAAAATGAATGCAGCTCTTCTACCTATTAAAATCACTTTTCTGACATTTTTTTTATTTCTTTGTTATATAAAAATAGAACTGAACTATTTTACTATATATGAAGCTTTACCTAATTCCATTCTAGATCTTGACGAGAACAGATTTTAGTACGCATTAGTATCTTCATGCATTATTTAAGAAAAATTGATTTCAAATGTAAATCTTCATACACTCAGATTGCCTAGAATTGTGTAAAATCGTTTTCTCTACAAAATCCCAGTAAAATTTAGGTAAAAGAATAATAGATAGAAATTGACTACCTTCTTTCTGTGCTATAGATTCTGATACAGTTATTCAGATTTTCAAAACATTTTCGAGAAGAAAAAAAATAAAAAGTACAATTTTTTTTGTTAACATACCTGATCAAATCGAAAGAAAGAATTTGAATGACACACTTTCCAAAAATAAATAAATTTCTCCATATTTCATATTGTTATACTTTATCTGTGAAATGTCCTTCCTTATCAGTTCGTCCTTAACTTGTCTCGGTTCTCTTCTATAGACACGTCAATTTAGATAACTATGAGATTATAAGTAGATCATGTTTTATATATATATATATTCATATTCATATTCATATTCATATTCATATATATACACATTTAAATAAGGAAAAAAAATAGAGACAGAAGAGAAGAGAAGAGAAGAATAACGAAGTCTCAACTATACTACCACTTGTTAGCTATCGTTTTCGTACAATCATCTCTATTTTTCTCTCTCAGTTTTTATTTAATTAGCCAACGTTCTTCTTTTCGTTTTACGGGATATTATTCTGTTTTTTTTCTGTTTTTTTTTTTTTTATATAGATATTCTTTAGAGACTTCGTGTGTTGGCGAGCATATACTTGAATGAATAATAGTTTTCTTTTCTTTTATAACATCAAGGACAAGTTCTTGATACATCTATATACACACTTTCTCCCACGACTACTGTAGTAGTAACTTAAACAAAAATAAATAAACACAAGGACAATAACACATTAGAGAACGCATACATTTACCTGGCTAGGGAGGAGAAATTTAATTTAAACAACGAAATAATAAACTTAGAAAAAAAATGTTCAACATCAATAACTATTTTCAATGTTAATTTTTTCTTAAAGTTAAATGTAATTCATTTAAATGACTGAGAGGGTATTCCTAATCGGATGTCATAAAAATATTCCACTAAAATTTTCACGGCTTCTTGCAAGGTTTCAAGGAGAATCTCAGAAATTACGAAAGAAAATCATGCAAGTTTCTACCATTTTGATCAAATGAAACACTTTCTTTTCAAAATAACGGAAAAAAGGACGAATTAATAGCTCAGAGTAGTGTTAAAAAATAAAAAATATTTAGAAATGATAATAATTAATTTTTTATCATATTAGCGATGTTTTCGTGGTGAATGCCGTAGTAATCATGATCTTAGAAGTCGCAATGGTAATTGGGGAGAATGGTCGCCGTGGTCAGCATGTACAAGAACATGTGGAAGTGCTGTACAAAAATCACACCGTACATGTGACAATCCAAAGTATATTTGAATACTACTACATTGGCTTCAAAAATTTCTAAGTTCTATTAAAATTTAGACCGGAAAATGGTGGACAATATTGTTCAGGACAATCAAATCGAATTCAATCATGTGAACACAATTTGGTCAGTTATTCACTTTTTCTCAATCAATAAAAAATCTTTTTTATCTCAACTTTTTCGATAATTTTAGCCATGTAAAGATCCAATCGATATGTTTCGACAACGACAATGTTCGAAGTTTAACAATAGAAGTATCGATCCATCACTACCTATCGGTGTTCGATTTGAGCCGAAGTATAATGGTAAGCAATAAAATTTAGAATCTCTAAGTTGCAACACTAATAAACAATAATTAATTGACACTTACTTTAAAATTTCACTTTTTTCCATATCTATTTTGATGATATAATGGAAGATAAAATAAGCAGAAATTCTAAAGATAATGTCATTACTGTCGGCATCGATCCATCGTAGTTGATGCTAATCAAACCAAACATAGATGACAAATTTTGATTTTATATATATTTGTGTTGATGGTAGAAAATACTTTCTCTTGTTATTTGTGGAGGATCATCGAACAGCGTCAGCTCTCACATTTTGCTGTTATTTTATTGCCGTATAGAAAAAAAGAAATAGGCCGATAAAGGAAAAGAAGAGAAAGAAATTTTTAACAAAAAAAAAGGAAAATATTTGTCGAGTTTTTTGTTGTTGTTGTTCGAAGATGAATAATATAAATTCAATATTTTGCATTTTTTAGTGATAAGTCACCCTAGTTTTTCTCTCTCTCTTCCTCTCTCTCTCTCTCTTTCTCGATAATGACGATAATCTATAGTAGAAGTTTTTTTTGATGACACTACTTGACTTTAGAAATATTGAGTTATGTGTTCTACAGTTAATAACGATTATATTTTTAGTGCTTATTTATACAGTTCTGTCTTTCTCATTTTGCTTATTACATATACCTTTGGAAAGAGAGAGAGAGAGAGAGAGATCGTTTATCTTGATTCTGACCAACTGTTTTAGTCTAATATAATAACCGTCAAATAGACGAATTAGTTTATAGTAAAAGAACTTATAATACCGGACAAAAAAAAGAGTTTTTCTAGCTCATACACTTCTCATCTTTCCACTACTATAAACGTAAGAGTGTCTATACTAAAGCCAAATTATATCAGATGGAAAGCAACAGTTAAACTAATCATGATTGTCTTATAGTAGTCTTTAGTTTATCCTCGTAGAATATGTTGGGATATCGTATGTCAAATAAAGAAATGATATTCGTAGTCTACTGGAACAAAATGATTCGACTATGTTAATATTGTAAAATATTTTATTAATTACTCCGGTTCATCTTTAGAAGGCTTTAACTCGGCTTATTTTCAATCCATGACATTAAATAAAATACAAAAAAAAAATAGATTACAATGTCAAATGCTAAATTTGAACCTGAGATCACAGATCTCTAATGTACAGTTCGATCAATATTATTTTTCTTTCTTTCATCGTCAAGAAACTCTAATTTGAAAAAAAAATTCATTCGTATGTATTGGAAAATAAATGAGTTACTTACTTACCATATGTAGAAAGCTTTAATCTAAAGGATGTGAACTTTTATTTACATTTTATTTCAACGAGATAAATAGAGGCCAAAAAATGAAACATTTTTTTTCCGATGTTTATTTAAATATATAGATTGCGATGATATTAACCTTTGTCGATACTTTTTCTATGGTACGTTAACTAATACGATGTCGTATGATGATGCCACATTTTTGTGAAAAAAAAAACAAACGCAAGCTGAAGGCTCATTCCTTTGAAAAAGTACAAAATTAGCACTGAAATTAAGGGAGATTTTTCTACCCGTTTTTTTATAAGTATCGGCAAAATTTAAGTGCGCCTTTCTACGTAGTGCAGCATCTCAGTATTTTCAATTTTTTAAATATTGACATTAAGAAATTTAGCGATAGCAAAGTATTATATCATAGAAAAAAAAACGTGATAAACAACTTCTACACTCACATTTCAGCTCCAGACTACTTTCTCGAAGAAAAACGGCAGGCAGGATCTTGAAAAAGCACACTTTTAGCTCCCAAAATCCATTCTCAAGGTCAAATCCGAAGTTCCCCTGGCAAATCTTGTCGGGGAACGACGACAATCTTTTCACATGCATATTTTGAGGTGCTCTATCGATTTGTTACAAAACGGATTTCAAACTGAAAATTAAAAATTTTATTTAAATTTTCAAAAATGGGCAAAAAAGATTGAAAAAAATTAAAAAATGTTTGTCTAGAAAACTCTAAGTTCGTAAATCTTCAAACTCTTTCCATATATATTTTGAAATGTCTTCTACAATCTGAGAAAATTTGAACTGAATCTAAATGGGGGACGGGATCCCCCTTCTTAAGAACAATTCTAAATGCGAATGTGTAGATTTTTTTGAAAAGGTCCCGCGTCTTTTTAAACATGTAACATCGTGTCTATTTACAGACATCAATGGATGATTAACAAAGTTCTAATGGATCAAAAATGTGTGTAAGACTATTATTTTGATATCAACCGCATATGTGAGAGAAAAAGTGTGAAAATGTCAGATCGATATATGCCTAGATTTCTCATTAATTTATTTTATTGTGATGCTTGAAAACTAATCCAATAGAATCATCAATTTAATTGTCAAGAAGAAAATTATATTATCACATTGATTTTTGATTTTATATGGCAAAATGAAGGTCATTTATATTTATTTTAATAAACACTTGAGTCGAAAAAGTAAAATTATTAGAGATACGCATCATTATCTTTCTACTTCTGTGGCCTCTAAAATTGACAAGGACTTCTCTTCTATACGATAAAATAATATAATTGAATCATCTTGTATATATCTAGACAACGGATTGGTCGTCGCTCAACACAATATTCTATGTGTAAATTGATTTTGAGAGCATAAAATTTGATTTAATTAATTAAATTAAGTAAAAAATTTTTTCATCCTTTTCAGTTAAATCTCAATTTATTTTTAAAATTTAAGATATTAAGATTTGGCTTTTTGTCAATAGATACAAATGATGTTCATTTGTAAATTTCATAGTTAACTTTTTGTTATTTTTATGACAATGAAAATGCCTATCATATATATTTGCCTAGAATTTACAATAGGATCGTAAAAGATTGTCTCTAATTGTATAAAAATCACTTGTTTGTATTACTTAAGAATATGTCCTTGTTTTTTTTCTCGAATCCATGTTGTATTTATTTAGTTTGTTTTTTCTTGTTCTCGATTGGATAATAAGTATTTTCTATGAAAACAAGTGCATTTAATTTACTTTTTATACACTTTTCCTAACTATTCCAAATTTAAATAAATGAATAGAATTGAAATTGAATTGATATGAAGAAAAATAGCAACTATTACTGTTTAAATTGTTTTTTGAAATAGAAGAAATACATGTATCATGAATAATTATTACTTTTTTTGTTTTTTATTCAATTTTAGTATTACCCAGTGAACGTTGCAAATTAATTTGTAAAGTATCAGACGATCGTCTAGAACGATCATTTGTTCTCGGTGATCGAGTTGAAGATGGAACACCATGTGGACGAGAAGAGGAAACTCGTGATATATGCATTAGTGGTGTATGCATGGTATGTCACATAATAATAAAATAAAATAATAAAATGTTTGTACTTAAATATTTTATATTTATTTGCATTTAGCCCGTTGGATGTGATAATAAATATGGTTCAAATGCAACAGAAGATGTTTGTGGAGTTTGTAATGGTCGTAACAGAACATGTCGGTTACTATCCGGTACAAAGGTTGTAGCGGGTTTTGGTACGTAAATGTTGAAAAAACAATTGTTAAAAAATAACTAGACTTTCTATTGAGAAATTTTGTTTAGGTTTAACAAGTATTGTTGATATACCTGTTAATGCAACACGAGTTATTGTAACACAAATATCAAATGCAAATGATTTATATTATCTAGGTACGTATATTAAAAATTGATTTGCTTTTACCAAATCGATTTTATTGTTGTTTTTTTTTTATTCTGAAAGCTGTTAAATATGTTAATGGTACTTATATATTGAATGGTATGCACAGTTTACAATTATACAATGTTAAAATTCGTGTCGGAGCTGCTTTATTACATTATACGGGATCAGATTCGGACAATGAAACAATACAAATATATGGCCGTTTGAGAGTTCCACTAGAAATTCAGGTAAAAACACTGAATAATTATTTATGTTCAGTATAAAATGACTATAATTTGATTTACTTTTTCCTATAGGTATTATCCATTCATGCAGCTGGTGCTGCCCCAACATACGTTCATTGGGAATATTACGCACCGAAAGATGAAACATTAATAAATGGTGAAAATTTTGAACAAGAAGGTCAATTTGGCTCGGAACATCACTGCGACAGACCATGCCAAGGTGAACAGATCAACACCAGTTTAAATAATCAATAAATAGTTTTAATAATGTTGAAGTTGTTTCTAGGTTGGAAACCAGTGAGAAAATGTGTAATTAATGGTGGAACATATAATCCGTCCTATTGTTCAACCTATCGAATACCCTTTACAACACAAAAAGAAAGTTGTAATAATGATTGTGTTTTAAGGTTAGTTTATTGATTGAATATGCGAACAGTATTCTCTAATTATCTTATTCTTACAGTTGGACAGCTAAACATCAGCATCCTTGTTCAACTCGTTGCGGTGATGGATATAAACGTGTTATCTATGAATGTGCTAAAACAAGTTTTACTGAACGAACAATGGAAGTATTAGATGAGACAATTTGTAAACAATATGTTGGTACAAAACCAACAGATATTGTTCCTTGTTCCGGCGATTGTACTGGAACAGGATGGGTTTATAGTAATTGGAAAGATGTAAGTTATACACAGAAGTCACATAGTCCAGGCTAATCTAATATGTGATTAATAGTGTCATCATTCGCCGAATCAAGGATGTATTCGCGAACGTACTTCAGAATGTCGTAATTCATCATTTCATCTTGTATCAACTTATTATTGTGTATCAGAATTTTTATTGCATGCTGAACGATGTGCTGAATCAGCTTGTCAGAGTTTTCGATGGAATTATACAACTTGGTCAGATGTGAGTATAGATAGTGATTGTAAATGTACATATATAAAAATAACATGCGTGTTTTCGTTGGTTCATAGTGCGACTGTCAATCGAGACGTCGACGACGAAATGTCTCATGTGTTAAAAATGGAAACATTGTCAAAGAACAATATTGTAATCAGGAATCGAAACCAGATGAGTCAACATCGTGTTATCAAGAATGTCTAATGCCACAGTGGATTACGGATGAATGGCAAAAAGTAGTTAAAAACCTGACAATGCCTGAATTATTGTTCATTTTGTTTTCTCATAGTGTACGGCAACTTGTTCAACAGGAGTTAGAAATCGTCGTGTTACATGTTCTCATCATGGTAGCATTGTATCAGATCAATATTGTGATCGTCGAACAAAGCCAACTGACCAAGAATCATGTTCAACAAATCTTAGTTGTCCAAACTGGAATGTGGGCAAATGGTATCCGGTAAGAAAATACAGACTTTTATTTATTGACACTTTTTAACTGAAGTATTCTGTTTACTTTCAGTGTTCTGTGACATGCGGAATGGGCGTTCAACAGCGGCAAGTGTTCTGCACGCAAGATGACAGACAAGTTGATAGAGCAAAATGTGAGGTTCCAATGCCTGATGAGCAGCAACAGTGTAAATTGAATGCATGTTCAACAACAAAGTGGAATGTTGGTGTATGGGGAGAGGTAATATACTGAAAGTTTTTCAATGAAGGGTACGTCTGAAGTTCTTTCTTTTTTTGTCCTTATAGTGCTCACAAACATGTGGCTTAGGCATGCAGCAACGAGCAGTTTATTGTGAAGATCCATCAATGCCATGGAAACAACTTTTACCATCGGAATGCTCCATTAATGATAAACCGTTACATATACAAAATTGTACAATTACAGCATGTCCAGTTTGGGAAATTGATAAATGGACCAAAGTAAGAATTTTAGTGAAGCAATTTCTGGTAACTGCAGAATTGATTAATATTTTTTACTCTTCAGTGTGTTGGAGTATGTGGCTCGGCCAATCGAACCAGATCTGTATGGTGTTCCCATAATCAACGTGAATTAAATGATTCGTATTGTTTAAGATCAGAACCGAAACCAAAAACTACGGAACCGTGTAGTCGTCAAACGTACTGTCCGCAATGGGTAACAAGTTCATGGTCTGAGGTAATAACTGTTTTTCGTTCTTTATGAAATTTACATGTACAAATCATGAGAAGCATGATATCACTAGGATAAGCCTGAAAAGAATTAGTCAGCTAGTAACATTTGTTGCTAATAATTCTAGTGTTTTGGATCAATGTGTGAACCTGGTGTCCAGTATCGTCAAGTAGTATGTAGAAATGAGCATGAAATTATTTCCAAAACAAATTGTAATGAACACGATCGGCCACTTAGTAAACAGTCATGCTATTTATGGAATACTTCGTGTTCTACACTGCGCACGGGAGAGTTAACTCGTGATGCATATGGGGATGTTAAATCTTGGGAAGAAGTAGGATTCGAATCTTATATATTGTAAACCAGTGCTTTTCATTTTTTTTTATATTCTTTTAGTGTTCTGTGATATGTGGCGTTGGTCAAAAAATAAGAAAAATATATTGCCTTAACGGACTAACAAAAGCCGTTCAAGATGATCGTCATTGTTCAAGACTACTGAAGAAGTCAGTTGACTTTGAAACATGTGAAACAACTGGCCCATGTGAAAGTTATCATTGGAAAACAACTGAATGGACAAGAGTAAGATTTTAAGTCTGATGAACGGTATGGTTTTGAAAGAAAATTTTCGTTTTTCTTCACAGTGTCCTGTTACTTGCGGTCAATCGATTCAACAACGTTCATTGATGTGTACAAACGATCGTGGTATGGCGGTTTCACATGAAAAATGTAATGGTCTTGATAGGCCACCAAATGTGACTGAATGTAGAAGAGCTCCATGCATTGAAAGTCAAACTTCGCTGACATGGATCATGAGTACATGGGAACCGGTATGGACATCTGATTTTCACACACAGCACTTTATGAATTAATTTAATTATCTGTCCTCTTTCAGTGTGACGATCAAAAATGCTTGCAAACACGTTCAGTTCATTGTATGGATGTGTTAACCGGAAGACATTTGCCAGCATGGAGTTGTACTCAAAAACGTCCAGAACCACCTGCAAACAGAACATGTCCGACATCTGCCTGTTTACAGTGGAAAGTGACACGTTGGAATGGCGTAAGTGGCTCTTATAATAGTTGTTAATTATAAGTATCTGTGTATGGTTCGTTTAGTGTTCTGTTAAATGTGGACGAGGAATCGAATTAGGCTTTGGCTTGACGTGTTACACAAAAATATCACCACATAAAAAATTAGATGCAAGTGAATGTGAAGCTGTCCCGTTGCCAAAACCTATTTCAAGACGTACTTGTACTCGAAATTGCTTCGCGTGGGAAACAAGTAGTTGGTCGGAGGTAAAGATTGAAAAATATTAGATAATGATGTGAAATTAGTCGCAGCATCATTGAGCGTCGCTTTCACCGATTGTATTGCTATTACAGAGAGTATATTAGATTCCTGTGTGAAAGCATGTGTGGACTGTTGTTGTTTGTTGTTGATTCGTAGTGCATGAACAATTATTATTATTTCAAAAAATACGTATACACACATACATACATACATACATGCACCATCTTTTTTTCACAAATAAATATTGTCAACTGTCGAGGTTATGATTGAAAAACATCATTAAGGTTTTCATTCTCAATCTTCTCTATAAATATCTATTCAATTTAGTGGTACACACACACACACTCACACACTCACACACACACAGCAGACACTTGTATTTATTACATACACGCGTACACATTCACACACATTTCCATATAGAGAGTTTTTACTTTTAATATGCAGACAGTGGTGAAAGTGATGCCATGTACTACATATTACATAACTTTAAATATCTTGTTATAACATTGGTTGAATAGAATGAAGTTATTGCTAACATTTTTTTCCCGCACATGACCGTTCTAGTGTGATGCAAAATGTGGTGATGGAAAACGAACACGAAAATTATCCTGTATAAAATTACCCAGGAGACGATCTGCTCATAATCGATTTTGCAAAAACCGACGAAGAAATTTAACAAAACCAACAACTGAAGAATCATGCAATGTACAATCGTGTTATCAATGGATGCAAACCGATCGTTGGACGCACGTGAGTGTATTTAATTTAAGTTTCTGAATTTTTATAAGACTGAGTAATTTTTTATTTTTAGTGTACCGTTTCTTGCAATGGTGGTATCGAACATAATTATCCAGATTGTGTTCACATTTATCAAAACAATGTATCTGTCGATGAAAAATTTTGTAATCTAACTACTAAACCCAATTATCAACGTATTTGTAATGCATTTTCATGTCCTACTACCACGTTACCAACGCCACCATACCATCGGCCGTATACAAGATTCAATGTCTCATCATCATCAATAGGAAGATTTCCACGACGAAGGAGAATTGGACGATTTAGAATGAACAATACGTGGGAAACTGAATTATGGTCACCGGTTAGTTTGATACATGTGTTTGGATAATCGCTATTATTCATAATGTCTCGGTTCTAGTGTAATGTTCGTTGTGGAGTGGGTGAACAACATCGAATTGTACGCTGTCTAAATTTTAATCGTACACGAACTCTAGATGATCGGTTTTGTCGACACATTCCCCAGCCATCTCGTACACAACAATGTTTCCAACAATATTGTATTCCAACATGGGTTACTGGTAATTGGTCTACGGTAAGTTTTTTGCATTTTCCCGATTTTTCTCTTATGATTTATTGCACTACTTATTTTGATTTTGAAATTTATGTTATAGTGTACCGCAACATGCGGCTATGGGATGCAGTATCGATCCGTTTTATGCCATGCAGTTGACAATGATGGTCATGTATTAAAGTCAAACATTTCAATGAATTGTAATCGCTACAATCAACCATTGGATCGTATACCATGTAATTTGGGCGACTGTCAAAGTCCATATTTATGGCATATCGAGCCATGGTCTACGGTACGTCTATTTATTCATGATATGTCATCTACTAGAGCCCAATATTTATCATCTATTCTAGTGTTCATCTGATTGTGGTATTGGTGAACAAAAACGTATCGTTCTATGTCGACATCAAATTTCGCGAACACCTGTCAGTGATTATTATTGTGATATACAAAATAAACCATTGACTAATTTAAAATGTTTTGGACTTTGTAAGTTTTTTAAGTAGTCAAATTATCATTTTCATTCATATGAAAAAAAAAATAAGATTATCTAATATAAAAATCATTGTGTTTTACATTTTATAGCATTTGAATATGATCGAAGCACGAAGAGGTAAAAAATTTTAATATATCACTCTTTACACTAAGCTGTATTTCATCATAAATTACACACAACATATGATTAGTTATGACGTCAAATATGTTGTGGTGTAATTATTTGTGTTGTTGTTGTTGACATTGTACTATTAAGCTATAATTTATAAATAGTTTTTAACTCTAAATAATACAAATATACGCTAATAATGGATATAGGAAAATCATCTTTTTATTTTAAAAAAAAAAATGAATTTTTCTTCTTAACTTTTTGCTTTCTATTTAATCACTATATTTTAATTTGTGTATAATCTACATCTATCAGTATTATAATAACTATTTGTGTATTCACTTATATTAGTTGTCGATAGTTCAAATATATGCTGCACATCTAATCGCATTATTTAGTCTAGTACTCAAAATATTCATAGTAGCATGCTATCTTTATCATACCATATGAATTCATTAGGTTTCAAGGTATTGCGCATCAATACATATATCTTATGATTAAGAATTTGTATCGCTGCTATTATAATCTTATTACAAGTCATACTTTTCCATTAAAATAATGATTACCACTCTTTTGACTATTTTCTCTATTTTCTGAACCCAATAGATGGTGGCAGTGTTTCATTCTAATCGCTACTGCTGTATTTCTATGATTAATCCGCTCATTGATCTGACAAACAGTAGGCAATATTGAATATTTGTCCCTATATTCGTCTTTAAACGACATATTTTGAATTAAAAGCTCGTAATTGAACAACAGTCAATAAAATGACTGATGTATGTACTTGTATATGTGTGTGTGTACTATCAAACAAAAAGCTTTATCATTTTTAGTTATAGAACTCTAATCTGTATGTGCTTTTGTGTGTCATCTCTTATATTTGCATGTTTTCATTTAGTACATGCACAATCACCTTCTATATACTTTAATAATTTAATTTTCTTTATTATTCTAGGCTATGCTAAATCGTGTTCCGAACTCTGCCATAATTTCCATATCAATAATGGTAACGAGTATTTTATCTAACTACATGTTAAATTTGATCAAGTAAGTTTCATTTATGTTTTAACATTATACTTTTTTTTACTTGTATCTAACATTTAGATTTACTGTCGAAATATGATGAGTAATAATCCATTTTGATGAATTATTGAACTATACAAAAATTTAGAATAATAAGTATGATTGAATCAATTATTATATCTCTAATTAATTTAAATTATATATACTTTAAAATTTTTTTTAGATATATCTGTTCTTAAATATTTTTCATTTATGTATTAATTCATATTATTCACATTTCTTTTATTAATTCTATTACCCATTGTTTTAAAGTCAGATTTGATATAAATAATTTTAAAATTTTAAGTATGTGCCAAAGAATGATAAAATAAGAAATTGCAAAATGTAAATATTATTATTGTTATTAATTTACATAATGATTTTACGTTTTCTATTATACTTTATGATACTCGTACACCATATACAGTAATAGGAACATATAATTATGACAAATATTATGAACAGGTATGCGGTAAAGTAAAAAAATGAATACTAACTTTATAATGTAGTACTCATTTATTTTTCTTTCTCTGTCTCTCTGTCTCTCTAGGGTAGAATATTAATTGATTCAGTCAAAACTAATTCTTAAACTTGCTGATGAAACACCATGTTCCACATGAGAATGCAACATTCAAAAATTGTGCACTTACTCTAGGTGTGAAAGCACATAATGCACCACCACTACAGACATTACTTTTCTCACATACACACATATTTATTATTTTGCCGAAATCTTCGATTAAATTGAATGTTTTTGGTCAATGTGGAAAACGTAGACCAAATCCGTTTATTGGCTTCAATCCGTCTTCAATTATCTTTTGTTTTAGGCAATTTTTATTTTACTCTCTCTCTCTCTCTCTCTCTCTCTCTCTCATACACACACACAGACACACAAACGCACACATACTAATATTTGATTGTGTTTTCGTTTTGAGTTCACTTGTTGTTCTCATCTATCAGCATAGTAATCATTAGATAGTAAAATAGAGATATTTATGCTTATATAGTGTAGAGTAAAAATAAATGATCTAAACTAGCTTATTCTATTTTTTTAGTTTTTATTCTGTCTTGATTAATAGTTTTAGCTGCTAGAACTATCTTTTGTCGAGTGAAAAATAAATTTCTCACTGTGTAGAATTTTGGTAGAGACAGAACGTGAATATGGTTTGTATGATAATTTTTCTCATTTATATCAATGAGAAGTACCGTGTCTTTGAATGCACATACTTTTATGATGTACATACAGCTAATGTATCACGTAACTTAATCTAAAACATTCTTCTTACTTGCACACATGTAAGATTATTGCACGTGAGAACTGGACCAGATCTCCCATAGGTCCCTATTATATTTTATATCGTTATGATATGTAGTACAGAAACTATTATTTTTTTTTTTTTTTGTTTTTTTGCATATTTGATCTTTCTACTTATAAACACACAATATTGCTCTTATAATAAGAACAAATAGCTTTGTTTTATTCAGTTCGGCTGTTGAATATTATTATTCTTTATTTTTTGTCGCTTTTATTTGTGCAATAGAACTGCTGCTCGTTTATTTAATTGTGTTTGCTGTACACATACACACGCACACACATACACCTAATTTAGATTAGATTTAAAATATACAGCACAATTTTATTTTTATTCATGTTGGTAATTATAGAAGAGAGAGAGTGTGTTGGGCATTTGATGTCGCTTTTCTTCTTTTTTTTTTTTTTTTCTTCAAATGTGTATACAAATGACATATTATAATTAGAAAAAACATCAATTCTTTATTTTGTGTATTTTCTACTGCTTTATAAAAGTGTCTGATTTAACTCCAATTGTAATTGACTGCTCATTACACAACTATAATATTTTTGCCTGCAGTTTCTTATTAATTGGTGAATGTTTTTCTTTTTTAAATGTGTATTTTTGTGTTCTTCTTTTTGTTATGTATGTAATAATATTTCTTAGATCTGCAGTTTTAATATAGATCAATATAAAGCCGTTGAATTTATAAAATGATTACTCAATCTCACAGGAAATACAGAACTAAAATCGAATAGTATATCATCATTAAAATTTTTACAAAATAATTATACAAAATACATCTTTTGTAATTATTTTTTATCCATTCAACAAAAAGAAAATGTTTCATAAATAATTCAAAAAATTAGAAAAAGAGTATATAGGTATTTTAATATAAATATTTGACGTAGGGACAATACAAAATTTGAAAATTTTTAAGCCACAAGTAAATAATCATATCAATAAGAATCCAAACACTATCATGTTTTTCTTTGCTAATTTAACAGAATTTAACAATAGTAAATCTAGAAAAAATAGGTTATAGAATGACACTTGTATTTAACAGATAAAATCGAATGAAATTGTTCTAAATGATTTTTTTCAAACGTTTTAAACTTTTATCAAGTTTAATAAGTCAATTTTGTTTGAAGACGTAAAAAAACTAATAATCGTGTTCACATAATGTCACTGCATTTTTATTTGAGGATCATGCATCCTTGTTCACAAATCAAAACTACATGTTAATTTAATGAGATTACATTTTATTGTCAACAGGGGGTCGTATTACAAAAAAAACTTAAGTTATCGACTTAGCCCATGACTTAAGTCTAAGTTTAAGACTGACTTAAGTTCGAGGACTTAAATCGTATTACGAAAAGACTTACGTTGGTGATTTGTTTACTTTTTGAAAGTCATTGACAACAGTGACAAACTTGAGACAAAAATCCACAAAATAACTATCTTAAAAGAAAACAGAAAAAAGTAAGATTGAATGAAAGATTTTAAGATCGATGCAGAAAGCAGTCTATTATTCTACAGAATAACAAGTCTATTAAAATGATGGACTGTTCTTGTCCGTCTTTCATGTAAGACATGAGCAAAAAAACAAGATCCATATCACAAGATAATTCTTTTTTGTAGTATGGAGCTGATTTCTACTGTTTTTATTAGAATATTCATATAGGGATCCCCTCTCGTGAACATAATTTTTTTCTGTAATGAGACCGATACTTGTCCTTTTTCTAGAAGTTAATTTACTTGTAAGTGCCAGAGCTCTGTATGAACTCAAATTTTCCAGTACAGTTCAGTCCGTTCGCTCAAACTTTCGAGATTGAGTTCAATCAAAATTATTTTTACTAATCGATGAACTGAAAAGTTAAAGTTCAGTTCCCCAGTTCAATCCAGGAAAAAATCGAAAAAAAAAAAGCGACTGCAGCCCTGACGTTTTCCGCGTTTTTTTCCTCGACGCAAGTCAATTTGAAAATCTTTTTTGAGTTCAGTTTAGATCATACAAAGATCTAAGAAGTACTTGCCTTACTTGCTCTATTTTACTTTCCATTTACAGATAATTATTCATGTATTACCATTCATTTTTTGAAAGAATACCGGTGACTATTTTTTAAAGGCTTCCATTTAAATGCTAAGTAAAAAGTTATTTTTTTTGAAGTAGTTTAATAAAAATAATTATATTTTTTGCAGAAATGTGGTTTAGTAGCTCACTCTCATGCTCTCGAAGCACCTCTTCCCCACAACCGCTCCTAGGCACACATAAATATAGCTTATAAAGTAGGAAATAACAAAAATTAACTTAGCATTTAATAAAAACTACTTAGCAAAAAAAATAATTGTTATTTTTAAATAACTCAATAACAAAAGGTGATAGAAATTTGTACTTTTTATCATTCGATAGTCAAGACTATAAATTATGAAACAGGTAAATTTATTTATCAGTAGGACTTTATGAATCGATAAAATTATATTGGTTGCAGCTGAGAATGATTCATTTTAATTTCTTTTATTATAATAAGCTTTTGATTATAAAATAATAATCATTAGAGAAAATAAATACAAGTTAGAGTTAATAAATACAAAGAAAAAATGTAAAGATAATACAAGTAAAATAAATACAAATTTTATCTGATGATGATTGTTTTATAATTGAAAGTTTATTATAATAAAATAAATTAAAATGAATCATTCAGCTGAAATTCAATATAACTTTAAATCATCTTTTCATAATCAAAACGAAACGAATTTGGAAAATTTTCTCAAAATTCAGTTTTCAAAAGTTTCGCTGAGAAATTGTTTGATAACTGAAAAAGTTATGATAGAAATAGATTATTTTTTTTTCATGAGTAAATAGCCTAAAGTGTCTTCTTCCGAATGAGAGGAAAGGGAGACCTTAATTTTCAGTGATTCGCACATGGTGTGAAATTTCAAGGTGCCCCGGGACTGGTTCTCATTGACTTTGTATAACTTTGAAAGCGTACGAGACATACGTAATCGACAACGTTTATTTTTCGAAGAAAAAGTCAAAAACCTAGTGAAAACCGAGTTTTACGAGCATTAGGGTTTTTTATCTGTCGAGTTATTTAAAAAATCATCATCGGCATTCTTTCAAAAAAATATGCGATGTTTCACAAGTAGTTCAAGTACTTGTCATAGTACAATGCAACTACTTAACATTGTTATCAAGTACAACGGTAAAATCAAGTATTTTGTACAAGTACTTTTGGGCAAGCACTGATGAAACAATCAAGTACGTCCAGTCTGATATTCTATCATTTTTACGGCATCATTTACTGCTTTCAATCCATAGATTATGAAAAGTTATTCAAATTTAAAATAGTTCAAATTGATATCGTCATAGAAAAAAAGCCATCACCATAACTAACTGTTGGTAAAATTAAATTGATTTCCCCATCTGACTAATAATGATTTTTCTATAAGACTTTTAAAGTCATCAGCAAATAATTTACTTTTTCCTTCCTTATCTCACCTATCAAAAGATATATTTCTAATGTTTGCTAATTTTCTTCAATATGATACTTTCATATACAATCATTGAAAAACTGGTTAATGATAGTTTATCGTTGGCTATATAGAAGTTAAACGCTTCTATATAATTCGGGCTGGCAGCATTCAATTTGACAAGCCAATTTTATCGGTAAAAGTATTATAAATGGTGCTAGGATGCTCGAGATTTCTCACTTTTCTATCATGTCTTTAACGGTATGAGTCGAAAGATTTTGACTTATCTGTTGACAGACATCACCGATGTCTGTGGAACAGATATAATCGTTATTTACAAGTGTATCAAGGTGAAATTCTAATACCATAAACGAGAGTGAAAGATTTTTAACAATTTCCAGACTATGTCACACATCTCAGAATTCTCACTTGTTTCGAGGAGGTGAAGAAATGATACATGTATCAATATATCTTTCCATCTAATAATTATTTATAATCAAAATGATAGTTTCAATTCCGTATGCTAAATTTTAGCATGTTGTTTTATCTTATAGGGATGAGAGAAAAGATTGTTATCAAAATAAAATACATACTATCACAACTATTTAGATAAAAGAGAAGCTTAATTTCATATAGTTAGCTAAATAGAATATATTTATCAAAAATCATGTTGGTAAAGGTATGTTTTTCGTCATCTCTTAGTCTTAAGGTATTTTTTTATACTTAAAAAACGTTGTCAAGGTAATGTAAGAATAAACCGTATGACACACATATCAGCTTGACGGAGAAAAATAAAAATCCTTCATTTCCACTTCTTTCCTTCCATCATCTAAAAAAAAAAAGTTTTTTTTCTATTACATACGCGTGCTTTTCGTTTAGTCTACTACTATTGTACATGTCCTCTAGGGGGCTTGTTTTTTGTTTAGAACTGAAAATATTCTGTCTGTAATTGAAGTTTCACAGGTCAGGTGTTCGTCTTTTTTTTATCGAACGTCAGAAGATAAGACCTAAAATATTCTACTTTCTATTACGCGTATAGATCACTGAAATTCCTATCCTCATAAATGACAAGAAATTGTACGTAAGCAAGTTTTGTCAATAAAAAAAATATTCCACTGCAACATAGTACAGACAATATGATCATGAAGCTCTTTTGAAGTTAACACATTTAATAACATTTGAATTGCACTCTTTAAGTAATAAAGAAAATTTAAAGACAGAGTGGCTTAAAGATCATCCAAACAGAATAGAGAGAACTATTTGTTAAATCAGTAGAAAAAAACCGAGACCATTACAACGATTTTGAAGTAGATCAACCATCATCAAACTCTTTTAGATCTGCCATTTGATAACTTCATCGTATTACTAAAAATTATAAGTCTTTTAAGTAAGAATTTGAGATAGCGTCGTCACTCAGTGAGGATAAGTCTATTTTTCACGTTACGATAGATGTCAGTCTACTTGTTCACTGTATCAAAAGTGAAATCCACGCCTAGAACTTTTGTATCTCCTATTGAACACGCAATTTCTTCGTTTTATACGACTGTTTATAAGCGTTTAAGTGAATTACACACTAATATTCCCAGATTACTACTTCTTAACAAATTTTCCACTCGAATTAAACTGCTCTCTGTTTCTGTGGTTATTTGTTATATAAAGGCTATTTCTCTGGTTTTTGTAGTGTGTATATACATATGTTTATTTTTCTTTTCAGTATGCGACGTAAACTATTAAATTGTCAACAGTGATTTATTAAATATGACAATGATGTATAGAACTACAAAACTTTTGACATATCCGTCAGTTATTTATATGTTAGTATACTTATCAATGTTTCTGATATCAATTTGTTTACATTTTATGTTATCAAATGTTCATTGCTTGACTCGTGTTTATCTAATTGATTTTATCATCACTGTTCTATTATATACAGTTGGTTATTCAATATCATCATATAATATTTATGATTTACATTGGCCATTATTACCGTTTATTCTCTGTTTATATTTTCAATTAACATCGACTATTGTATTATCACTTACAAAACGTTTACCATTAATATTTTTTATTTCATGTTGGTCAGCTCATCTTGCCTATCAAACAATATCATCAACAAAAAATATCAGACATGAAGATTGGAGATATGCATTAATGCGAAAACAAATGGAATCCAATTTTAATTTATTTTCTTTTTTTGCTCTCCATTTATTACCAATGTTTGAAGTTTTAATTGGTTCATCATCACTTTACTACTTTTATCATCAGAGTCAAATAACAACATTCACTTTGTATGATTTTTATTCATTTTTTATACTGGGATTTGGTGTTATTATTGAAAATTTGGCCGATAAACAATTAAATGAATTTAGACGGAACCCACACAATCGTTTTGCCGTACTTAAAGCTGGTCTGTGGGGTTATTGTCGACATCCAAACTATCTTGGTGAAATTTGCTACTGGTGGGGATTATTTTTACTTGGTCAATTCAATTCTACACAAGCTTATTGGTGTTTGATTAGTCCAGTTGTTATTACATTAATGATGGTATTTGGTTCGATACCAATGTTAGAAAATAGAATGTTTACACGTTACCCCGAATTTAAATTTGTTCAAACATGTATACCCATGTTATTACCAAATTTCAGATCAACACATTGCTAACAATCATTCCATTTTTTTTTTGTGTTTTTATATTGTCTGTGGAAAAGACTTTCTCACATGTTCGAGTAGCTATTGCATTTAATAGCTACTTGCTTACTTCAACTAGACTTTTTGTCATATTGAGAAGATTGATAATTTATATTTATTAGGCATATATGATACGGTAAAAGAAAACAATGATACTATGTGTAGTTAAAATTTTTAGAAATTTTCAAAATGCTCAACTTTTTAAAAAAAAACTTGTAAAATGTTTTGTAGAATTCTGTATCAGATTTTTCTCCAATTAGAAAAGAATATAGTTGATTGAATTGATTCTAATGATATTTTCATCAACTTAGCTTTTTAGAAATTAATACAACAATGATACTTGATATGATTACTACTATACATTTACAAAATTTGTATTAACATGACAATTTAAATCTTATTTTCAGGACTCAATACGTAAGAAGGATAAATACTTGGAAATGTTCGATGACTGATACAAAAACTGAAATAAGGTATTACCCATTATATGTTGAAATAAGCAGAACGAGTGTCATTTCAATTTTGATTCTTTGAACTTGAACTTGAAAGTTTATTTTGTGCCCAAGAAAACATCTCGTAACAAAGGCTTGTAAATACAGTGCCACCACGCGGAAAAGAGAACAACCACGAGAAGAGAGTATAAAAGAAAAAACAACAACACACTTATATGAATAGGTGAGCACGTAATGCTCGTTTGAAAGTAGTAGCTGTTTGACAAGATACAACAGTATGTGGCAGGAGATTCTAGTCAACAGAAGCATGGTAGAAAAAAGAAGCTACATGTTCTTGCGATACTGTCGGTGTCTCAACCTGCATACTATTCTGACGGTTACCAGGGCCGTAGCCAGAAATTTGGTAAGGAGTGGGCATCTAAAAAAAGTTCCATCTTTACTAGTCTGAATTTCCATGTTAAAGCTAAGTCGAATACTTTTTGTTGCGTTTTATCTCCACACGGCTTTTATCACCTATAAATTTAGTATATATTATGCATTGAAGTGAAATCTCAAGGGGTTGGCACGTGCCCTATTTGCCTACCCCCTGGCTATGGCCCTGACGGTTACTATTCACACGGTCTGATCTTTTGGCTGCTAATGGATTCTGCACCTCTATTCTACTTTCAGAAAAACGTAAAGTGATGGATAAAACTATAGTCGACTTTTCTTTGTATTCCACCAACGATGAAATGATTGCACATCGTTGTTGCGCTAACGTTTTCGACCTGTAATGTTTTCACATAACATATTTACTTTTATTTATTTTGTGTTATTTTCATTGTAACAAACGCCAGACCCTAAAAGAGCGCAAAGACGATTTGCAATCATTTTGTCGTTGATGGGTTCATTGAGAAAGGTTATGATGTGACTTGAAGTTGCGTGGATCGATATTATTTTATTCGGTAACAGCTAGGTAATGGATTTCTTTGTTAATACAGACCTCTAGTAAAGGATGTGTTCCAAAATATGAACAGGTAGTTAACAGCTTAATCGATTTTTTTAAGTTTTCTTTTATTTGATAGAATAATTCTCGGAGTTTTATTTTATATAAATTGATTTACAATAATTGTTCAAAATAATCATCATCAACTGAAATACATCCTTTTCAAAATTTATTAATGGATTAATGTATTTCAGTTGATAATGATTATTTTGAACAATTGTTGTAAATCAATTTATATGAAATGGAATTTGGAGAATTATTCTATCAAATAAAAGAAAAATCAAGAAGATCAATTGACCTGTGTTAAAGAGCTATTCATATTTTATTTTCGATAGGATTTTTTGCGACAAGTGTGGAAAGGATGATAATGAGTGGGGGAATATTTAATATATTAAAGGAATAATGACTCGTCTAATCGTACGTTAGTACCATAGGCACCGTTAGTCATAGGAATGCTGTAAACCTATAAAACTATGACAGAATTCTACATGACAGATACTGTGTAGTTAAAAAATTCAACTGTTACACGTCTGACTAAAGATAGTTACGTATGTCATCGATTACTGCACTTCGTTAAAGACGTAGTCCAATTATCCTATATGATTTCGTTCAGAATTCGATACTCAATCTAACAATATGTTACTCAAATATTTGGTCCATTTCTTGCGGAAATATAAGCCAAATATGAAAAACGACATTTTTTAAACATTTGCTGAGGAAAAAGCAATCAGAACTCTATAAATGATTAGAAAGAAACGTCGAACCAAAACTGAAGTAATTTCAAAGAGTTTTAAATGATTAGATAAAAAGAATGAAATAGTGGATATATATTGCCATCAACATTAAAACATAAATGATACAAGAACAAGAAGCGTAAATAATTAGAAATGAAATGAAACTAAATCATTCGTATTTTTCATGATTGATGATAAAAACTAAAGACGCCTTCTGATCGGTGCATTATAATATTACAGCAAGTTCTATGTAAATAGTCTTTAATAGACTCTGTTGTCTTAGTCCAGGTAATATTCAGATTCTTCATTGAATTTTAATGGGCCATTAGCCTTTGATAATCGGAGTAAGAAAAAAATTTTTTTTTATTTGTTGTTTAGAAGAAACTATAAGCAGGTTTGTGCGGTCGGATTATACTAGTGGAAACATTGACTCCGTTCGCTTAAAGGAAATGATATCTTACAAAAAAAACTTACAGCGCAGCACTTCAGAATAGCAGTTCATCAGAAACTTCAACAGGAACTCAGTTTATTGAAGATATATATACTTAGCCTGACAGGAGATTAGTGCCAGTGAAACATGGCAGAATACTCAACATTTTTTTTCTTGAGGCTTTTAGAACGTTCTCTTTTTTTTATTCCCTAACCTTGTTACACAAGACATAAAAAGTATTTATCATTATCTAAACCTCGAAATTATGGTAAATTCTTGCAAAGCGAATTTTCAGAATTTCCAGTTTAGACTACAAGTGATAAAAAACTTGCATAGTCGAATTGCTCCTATATTTTTCTGGAAGCGCTTTATCCAATCTAAAAGCGCAATTCTGAACACTGAAAAAATGAGTTTTGTCCTCTCAGCAATTTATGGACTAGACATATCAGAGATGAAACTTTGATAAAATGATGTTAATCTTGAAATTTACGAAATTCTACTTTTTAGCTCAGAAGCAAGCGTTCTTCTAAGGTCCCCGTAACTCGAATGACTTGGCTAAGCGAAGAGAACATTACGTTTTAAAAAATAAAGGGTGGCCAAAAAGTCCTGTCTCGATTTATACTACAATGAATATTGTTCAAATCGAGACAGTATTTCTGGGCCATCCTTTATATCGATCGCTATGAAAAATCAAAGAAATTTTTATTAGACTTTACAAGAAATGAATTTTTTTTTCTTTTCTTTTGCATTAAGAATTCGGCCCATTAACTATATAATGACCTGTCAGGTGTTCACTAGTTAGGAACTTTCGCTCTACAAGTTAGACTGACTCGAAAAAAAAAAAGAAGAAAATAATGATAAATTCACACATACAGAGAACAGAACGAACGAACAAGAAAAGAAAAAATATGCTCTCTACGGTGGACCTAAATACTTGACTAAAACATCGTTGTGTATGGTATGGTGTATATTCGAACTTTTTAAATAGAATGTATATAATATGTATAGAACACTCATTTAGTCCAGTCCGGTGTTCAACAAAAAAAAACTGTATATACACATACATTGAACTAATAAAGACACGTATAAATATGAGATGGAGGAGAAGAGAAAAAAAAGTCATACAGCAGAATTTTCTATTGTATATACATGGCGCATATTGATGAATAAACGATAGAATAAATATCTATATATTTTAAGGACACTTTCTATATTCGTATAGTACAGTTCAAGCATATATACACCTACACAATGCATCAGATCTTCTCTCTAAAACAAGTATTTTTCTTCTTGAACATAAATAAACTGCATCTTGTTTTTGATGCATATATACATGCATAAATGTATAGACAGACTGAAATTACTTCTTTTATTAATCATTCATTGTATGTTTGAACATGTTCCGAACTATATAAGTGAGTTACGAAACATTTTAGATTATAGATTAGTTGAATTGTTCAGTTATCAAATGCTGAACCTGTTTAGCGGTAATAAACCCTTTAAGGAATGGGGCATTGTTATGTCCAACAGACTGAACTATAAATGACGCATTTACCACGTTTTGTTGTGCCTTTATTATCGGAGAACAAAACTAAAAAATTAAGGCTGTGCACGTATAAGATCCAGTATCTTGTGCTTCTACTTCTAGAATGTAGACATTTTTATCGATCAAATTGTCTATTTTTGGCAGTAAAGTCAAGATAGAACTATCTTATTTAACTGACACGCTGGGCAGTTTCATGTTTTATGGTATATTTCTGATTCCAGTAATAAGTGATAACTGCGTCTTTTTTCTTTATTTGTTATATAAAAAACTAAGCAAAATCATTCTTTTTTTTAGTTTTCTTATGTTTTACATAATGACGAGTTTTTTCTCTTTTGTGTATAAGAGTACAATAAGTTAACTATTTTATAATAATAAATACTACATGTAACAAAAACATAACTTAACATTATTTGATTGTAATTTGTTAGATTTATTATTTTCTAGTACAAAAGAAACATTCTTGTTTCTTTTTCCATACGTATCATTCTTTGAAATTCTAAGATTTAGTTCATCGTTCACACGTAATCCGGTAAGCGAATCAGAACGTAGTGCCGTATAGAATATTAAAAAAGCTATAAGAGTTTAATTGACTATTGTTTTTAAGAATATTTTAATAAAAAATTTAGTAGGAAATATAGGATTCAAAGAGAACATAAATAGAAAACAAGATACACTCTTTAGACTAGTTTATTATATCAGATGTGTTTTGTTTGTTTGCTTTGAAAGACGTGCACCGAAGCCTATAGTATTGATCAAAACATTGATCGAGTACATTTTAAATAAATCGCCTTAACCTATAGTTGATTGATTTTTTTTTTCTCTTTTA